CTCGAGTTCTCTTTTCGGGTTCATCCTGGATGTGGAGCCACCTCTGACATCGCCTACTGCAATATGTATTGCATGATATCTGGTGTGCTTCAATTTAGCCAAGATTCACTTCAAACTTTTCTTTGCAGAAGGCACATTCTTTGAATGTAATAAAATAACAAATAAAATATTTACTTATTACTTCATCATGGCATCCAATGTGTTACAGTCAGTTTAACCTCAGTGCGAAATCTAGGTTAACCTACGCTCCTTTAATGCGTCGAGCCGTTAGTAATGCATAAGGTTTCCTCTGACGCAGGTCCATATGGCTCATCAATTTCACCCTAATGTAGAGCTGAAGTGTAGTATGGGGAAGAGGTTTTTAATGTACGATCGATTTGTTGCCTATGTTCTACTTGGTAACTACTTTTCTGTTCCTTGTTTAATTACTTCCCTCCGCATATAGTTTGCCTAACGGTCGGTTAATGTTTTTCCTTTGTTCGGGTTCGATTTGCCCACGTTTGGTTTGTCCCTTTTCAGCGATCTGAGTTGGCCTTCGAGTTGGTATGTTTTTATTATCCCAAATGGTTCTTTTTGCTCAGTCGATGGAGCACTTAAGTGCGCTATTAAATAAATAATAAATAAATACAATACGAATACGCTAAAGCAGTTCACTTCACCTGCGACAGCTTGCTGTTGTTGAACGAAAAAGGTGAGGCTTTCTTTCAGCACGCCTTCCCTTTCATTTTAGAGGATCGCTCGTCGCTTCTTCATCTCATGCTCAGCTCCGTTCCGCGCAATTTCGTTCAGTATTGTTGTATGGACAGAAAAAAACGCCGGTAAGAATTTTCGGACTACCAAGAAAGCGAGTATTGCGACCTGTGTCCTTAGTTGACACAGCCTAATGCATCAAAGTTGTGGTTCAGTGTATAGTGATATAGTGGCTGAGTCGCATTACCTATTGGCCCACGCGTGAGTTGGACTGTAAATGCCAAATAGTAACACAACATTTATTTGTCCATAAGAACTTTTGTGAAAGGATTGGCTGAATTCGTACTTCTTAATCCTGTAGTGAGACAGTGCGTCCATGGTGGTCCTTAGTGAGAGCTGGAGGCACGGTCGGTTGAGAGCGCAAAGCTGTAACGCATTGATCCGCCTGCGCAGATCACGTGCTTTTTTTGCTCGCGTGCGAATTGACTACCTCATACACTTCTGATTCTCATCGTGCTTCCTACGGAATTTGCTCGAACTTATCGCGGACCTTGCTTCTACAGAACGCTTAATTCGTTGCTATTAATACCAAGCAGGAGGTGAAAGACCGTTGTGATTTTAGGCGAGATACCGGACAAGAGGGGCGAAGGAGAAGATACACGAGCGAGACCTAACAAACAAATTAAACCTAACAATTTTTGACATCAAACTTTAGCAGCTCCTCTATCCTCTTCTAGGGAAATGATTTGAATATTTAGTAGGGGGGGGGGGGGGAGTGACTTTCATTCTAGTTTGCCAATTTTGATAAATAGTAAGAGTTCGAGATGATAACACTTGGAAGAGCTTGGAAAGGTTGTACAAGAGGTCCCGTCCTGTGTTAGGGCCTCTCATGGTGAAATTTGGCGATGGTAGGTAGGTAAGTTGTGGGAAGATTTGCCGCGTACGGCAAGCAGTATGAGCGTTGTACTTTTCTCAAGGCTCGTCATGCGACCAAATGGCAGAATTTTCTTATCTTCTTTTTGTGCCATCCCCATTATTGCTCCTCCCTTCACTGAAGTGCTAGATTAGATGAGGTGCTGCACCAGTAAGGAACTCGGAAGAATTAGGAGCCTTCACCCATCCGATTGTTATGAAATGCGCCTCGAAGAAGTACCACTTACAGAGTCATGCTTCTGAATACAATGCATTTGTGAGAGATTTTTTTCAGGAATTTTGAACACATTGCTGACTATTTCAACGAGCGGATTGCCTGCGTCCCTCTAACATTTCTGTTGGGATTTTTCGTATCTATCATCGTCCGTAGATGGCGAGACACTTTCGACAATATGGGCTGGATAGAGAAGTGAGTCATTAGTGTTCATCAGTCCGCTCTCAGTGATCATCAATAATCAACCCGGTATGCTCAGCGACTCTTCCGAGAAGTGAAGAAAGAGAAGTGACTCAGTGATAGTAAGGAAAATAGGTGGAGCCTTATCTGAGCTCATGCTGCAATGTCATACACATCGCTGAGGCAAAAAATGGCGTCGCCGGGCCAACAGTTGTCTATTCCCGCGCCCGCTATTCCTTGGGTGTGGTATCGGTACAATCGTAGAGGCGCGAATGCTAGCGGGCCGTGCATGGTGACATCAAGGCGCGCAAACGACGAGCTCTCGACGCCGTTGAAGGTATAAGGCACGATAATTGGGTACTCGCTCAGAAATAGAGCAGGTGTGTTGTATAGTAACGAAATGACGGAAAAGCGGAGGTAAACAGCTAAAAACTTGCGAAAAAGCATTTGTTCTACACGGCATGGGACAAGCATATTTGGACGAGTTTCCCATTGGCATCGTGCCAACAAGCGCTTTGTTAAATAAATGATAAATGCACGCATGCGTTCATATATCCATGTATCAACGCTTCATATCAATTTTAGTCCATGAATGAAGCGATAAGAGTAACAGCATCAATGTTACTGTGCGGACACTTGTGGGTTGTGGGGAACGGTATGTGCTTTGCGCTTTGCTTAGGCGCTATATATACGGGCGCTCTGGTCAGAAAAATGCCACGCAGCGGCTTGAGGTGCAACGTTCTTTAGAGTATCGACAGCTGCGTCGACGCTTGTAGGACTATCCTGCAACTTACCCTCAATCCATCCGACTCGTCTTAAGCAATGGAAGCTAATGCCAAGAGAATCGATGACTGCTTCTCCCTTGCCTCTATTTTCCGTCTAGCCTTTTTTGTTACAATCATTGCAGGTCAGGCATGTAGAGAGAGGCAGCAATTTGGAGATCGGTTGTATAACGCTGTGATAACTGCTTAAATCGAGTAAAGCAGCAAAGCAATAAACATGTGGCAGGAAGGAAAGTGATGGGGTTCTTGGCGATGGAGCAGATAAGAGTGCTCTTTGCCGTCTGGCCTCTCTCACAAGCGCCTGGTGTTTCTTCGTCTTAGCTTTATCGAAACGCAATTTCACTTGTTTCTTTCTGCTTTTTAGCAAACCTAAACAGTCCCAGAACCACTGGCAACAGCCCTGTTATACTAATCCTGAAAGGAGGTCTAATATCCAGTCCCTCTACTGGGGCACGCCATCAGCTCAACAATAAAAGATTACACTCAACCATGGCGAGTTTAAATCGAAGTCATCTGTTTCAGTTTGGCGCTGACACTTACGAATTTGCTACAAGGCGATGAAATGGAGAATAGGCAAATGCGTCGCACTATCATTCGATACACGGTGCTATCACAAGTGGGTTATCACCCCTTCAGAGAAGCTCATAGAAAATAAAAAAGTTCTTGAGCAGGTTCTCGTTTTCCGCGATATTTCGATGCGAATTCGAAGACGATTTCCAACAATGGAATCGCTAGTAAATGCTGGTGGGTGACAATTAGCTCCTTTTTTGTTAACTACATCGGAGGTGATGTCTGCAACCCATGTTATGGTCGGTTTTTTGCACGAGCTGAAAGTAGCTCTTTTGGTTTCACTGCCTATTATGAAATTCGCTTTGTCTTGGCCATGGAAGATGCGCAAGCACATATTTACTGATAAGGATGTTCTAGGTTTCCTGAATGCCAAAGAGCTCAAAGAGTTGAACGAGGTCGATTTGGCGTACAACAGGTATTGGACACCTCTCTACTGGGCCCTTGGTGTCTCATTTAAAGCTCTTGAGAAGGAATACTTCGAAACGCCATGGGCAAGAATTTGCGTACAAAATGTGAGTTGCACTAGACAATTAGTTGACATCCCAACATAATCACGTTTGGCTTGCCCGTCTGCCCAGCGGACAGGCGGAGAATGCTCCATTATCCGGGTCTATGCACCTCTTCTTTACCCATACAAGTCGGTAGAAGCGGATTCGGGAGGAATAAGTCAATTTGAATTTTTTTGAGTTTTAGTTTTTTTAGGAAATCTGCAGCGATTCCCATTATTACACAGTATCTTCAAGTGATCTTTGAGAGCTCTCCAGGGCGCAGTTTGGCGAAGGGGGGGGGGGGGGGGGGGAAGGGGCATTTTGCACTTCTTCTGCTTCCCGACGACATGTCAACCTATCTAGACAGTCTCTCATCGAGTTGACAGGGTTTACCATGATGCTGTAACAGGAGAGTGCAGCTCCGCCCGTCGCCAACTGCCGCTCGCCTCTCCAGCAAAAAAAATAGCGTTTGGAATCTGGGTGCTAGTGACCACACTCTGATTAAGACAATTAACAGAGGCCGGGCACAATTAGTAGTTCTGAGTCTTTTCCAAATTGCTCTTCATCGGGTTTATCTTTCATGTTAATTTTTATTACATTTCATATTCCAGAGGTGAGGAGGGCGTGGCTGCGTACTCCATTTGAAAGTGGCGGCTGCTGCACAGTTGATAGGATATTGTCGTTCGAACGCAATTGCAGTCATGTCTTTGTCTAGCACAGGACAGGAAAACAGTTGTCTCGAATAAAAACATCCTATGAGAAACGTGACCAACTCAATTCCCTTATAAAGCACGTAGTCACGCCCCTGCTATCGTCGGAATATGGAGTGTACCCTGTGCGAGAATGAGTGTTTTTCCCACACTGGTCTCCAAATTCAGGAAATCGAAGCTTTCCGTACCAATCTGGCTATTCTGTGCAATTTCGACTGGGTTCCTATTCCAATTAGCTATCCGCAGGTATCACAGTACTACTTCTTTCCGAGTATCGGTGACAGAGATAGCATTGCCGGAATGATCTTTACTATCATTGAGGTGGTCTTCCTCGCTGTCCGTTCCTATTTTGCGCTATGCCTTGTATCTCGGCAATTTCTGATCAAAGATCAAGGCGACGATCACATGGAGGTGAGCAGTTTGGAACTGTTGAGCAGTATAGGTACGATGGCGGTTCTCAGCCAAGGTGGGAGGGAGCATTTTCGAACTACTGTAACTACTGTAATAAGTTTTTATCGCCTCGTCAGCCCCTGTGGGGCACAAAATGGTACCACTTTCGATGTGAAACCAACTTTCGGAACGATTAATTTATACAATAAGAGACTTCAAGCGCGTCTGACCAGTAATCCAGGACGGCTTGTAACGAAAAGATTTGCCCTTAAAGATTGATGCTATCCCTAGTCAATCGTTGAACACGAAAAATCCGCGTAGGGGTCAGTAAATTTGTTTACGGCGCTAGGAGTAGTATCTGCAAATGAGCAAAGCATCCCAGAAAGGTGATGGAAACTGCGGTAAGTAGGAGGGTTAGAGGTTCATCGCTTCTCACGGCTTCTTCCGAAACCACTTTCGTACAAAGCGATTGATTCACCCACCTCGGAGCTTTTCTTCTCGGCTGAAG